TTTTATGAAGTAAAGTTTTATAGTCTGTCCTTAGGAATATTTTGTAATTGCATGTGGCAAATAATGGACTTAAAACTAACTTTAAGCAATTCCTTAATTTATGAGTGAAGCGGGTATTTACAAACTTCAGGAACTATGCTTTGTAGAACAATTGAAAAGTAAAGCACTCTGTCAGTAAGATGAGGTAACCCTTGTCATTGTCTTCTACTTGGCTTGATGTATTAAGGATTCTAATGTTTCTTGGGAGAATGAATGAATGAAATGAGATAGTACATGAAAGGTGCTTAGCATAGGTATAGCCTTAATAAATGGTAGTTATTAATAATAATGAACATATCAGGATATGTGCTTGTTACTCACAACTAAAGTGACTCAAAAACTAGCTTAAGATGATTTTTCTTTTTGGCTTTGAAAAATAACAAATTGTCCTGTACTTTTTCTTTGAAAAGCTTGTCTTTCGATTTTTAAGTAACTTTTTGGTATGTGCAGCACTTCAAATTAGGACATCATTTAAACATACCAGATTAAAAAATGTGATGCATGGGTCCAGTAGTTGGTTCAGCAACATTTAGTCAAACCCATCAATTTAAAAAAAATTTTTTTTTTTTTTTGGAGACAGAGTCTTACTTTGTTGCCCAGGCTAGAGTGCCATGACATCAGCCTAGCTCACAGCACCTCAAACTCCTGGGCTCAAGCAATCCTTCTACCTCAGCCTCCCAAGTAGCTGGGACTACAAGCCGAGCATGGTGGCACATGCCTGTAGTCTCAGACCTTGAGCAATCCTCCTGCCTCAGCCTCCCAGAGAGCTAGGATTACAGGTGTGGCCACTGCGCCAGCCTAAAAAATTTTAAGTTACAGTTATGTGGAAAACATCATTCTCAATGAATCAGTTATATAAAGAAATGTAAGTTTCTGTCTTAAAGGAATTTGAAGTGTGGTTGGAAAGACAATACATGCACATGTGGAAAGTTATGGAAAAATACATATTACTGTTTCATTGACCTACTTTTTCCTTTATTTCATTTAAATTGCTTCTATTCAGTCTCTTCTTCTCTACTTCTTTATATACAATTATTTTTCATATTAAATATACTCTTTCATGCCTGCTTTCAGAATTCAATTTATAGAACCTCCTTTTAGAAGCTCCCCTGATTTATGGCTAGCAAAATAACTTTCTTCTCTGGCAATTAAGTTAATTTCTAACTATTTCTTTATCATTTTTCATTTCTTAAAATATTTAATTACCATGCTCATTTTATTTTTCGAGTATTCAGGCATAGGGTTTTTCTTTGTGGGGAAAGTTTGGAAATAGTTATGAAACTTTAGAAGTTGACATTGTAGTATATTACTATTTGAACTTCTAATTATAGCTTTGTGAAAGAAATAGTGGCAGGGACTCAGCAGTTAGCTTTTCTTTCAAGATCAAATCTTCTAATCTTTCATCCTTCCAAAGGATTTAAATATATCTCTATATAATAGGACAAGAGAGGGAATAGATAGAATTTATTAAACACAGAAAAATTTTCTAAAACTCTTTGGTTGCTGATCTTCTAAGAACAGTTTTGGTTATTGTAGATTTGAAATGAATTTTTAAACATATGGAAATATTACAGCTGTCACATCCACATACATTTCTTGTGTTTCTCTTTAAATTATGATATATTTTTGCTGTTACTTAGGTTGGGTTTTCTTGCCTTTTGTTGAAGTAAAAGGACTCCGGACAGTTTCTAGCTGTAGAGAAGAAACCATATCTTAAAGTGTTTGATTTTACCACTGAACATAGCAACTCACAGGTCTTAGAGTTTTACAGGTTTTTTGGAAGCCCATTTTTTAAAAATAATTTTTATTTCAAAAAATAATTTTTATTTCTTGTTATGTAACAAGAACATATTTGTTCTTGTTACATAAATTGTATAATGCTGAAGTCAAGGCTTTTAGTGTGCCCGTCATCAGAACGCTGTACATTGTACCCAATATGGCAAGTTTTTAACCTTCACCCTCCTCCCACCCTATATGTGCTATTTATTGACCTTCAGATATATTGGATGTGTATGAATACTTGTAAATTTATTCTCCAGTTTCCTTATGCAGTCTCTGTAAATTTAAAGAGCAAAAGGTAAGGGAAGGCATCCTTATGAAAGATAAACATAATCATTTGTTAACAGGAGAAATACTTAATAAAAGATATAAAATATTTAATTTTACTCATCTAATTGTTTCAAAACCCCTGGGTCAAAAGATTTCAGAAACAGGCCATAAAGTGTTAACCTATTAATTGCATTAGAGGATACTCTAACTTCCTGTCTTTGCTATAATCATAATCCTTTCTCTAGTTTTCTTATAGCATTTTTCTTTCTTTCTTTCTTTTTTCCCCAGTTGTTTCAGGCAGGATCTTACATCATTGAAAGCTGTTGATTTTAGTATAAGTAATTTTGTTATTAAATAAATATCTTTTTAAAACTTCTGTTATACTGCCACAATCAGTTTTTCTGTCTTCAAATATGATTGTACCAAATCCTTTAAATGGAAACATAATAGATCACTTCTGAAGAAATAATTCCTCTTTAATAATGCAAAGGGAAAAGAATCAACTTTCTGTATTTCCATCTTATTATCTTTATTCCATCTGCTTGCCTAACCACCCATTGATAACCATCTTGAGAAGTCTACCTCAAATTTATAGATGGTATAATTAGTTTAGATCACTTTAAAACTTGGAAAACAAACAAGAACATGTTTAATATAAAATTAGCTGTTATTTTTAATCTGAATTATGGAGTAAAAATAAATTTAAGGTCTCTAAATAAAGCTGCTCTAGTGAGAAAAGTTTCCTGAAACTAGTTCGTGATCTTTTGCTTTTGTTAGTACAACTACTCGCATGAGGTTTTTAAGATAAGCAGAACATTCATTTAAATTATTACTGCCAAATGCATCCTTTTAAAAATTACAAAGTTTGGATACAAAATGTCTAGTTATAAAACTGTATAATACCATCTCTTAAAGGTGAAGTTATTGGATGGGACAGTTGATTTATTTTGTATATTTCTGTATGGTTTGAATTATTTGGTCAGAAGAAAAGGTGGAGTCAAAAGAAGTAGGTAGTAAACTTTTAAGTAGAATTGATGTTGAAAAGTGTTACATCAAAAAGTAAGTTTTCCAAGCCTTGAGAAAAGACCACTTTATTGGATTACTTGTGTGCTTGGATATAATGTATGTATAACAGTGCATTGGGCCATAGTATTCTAATATTCAAGAGAATTTAACTATCATAAGGAAGAAAAACAGTATAATTGAGTGAAAACACTGAAAGTACGAAACAGTAAACTAATTCTGTTACCTAGAGTTATCTTGATTCTTTTACTATGTTAATTAATTAATACATCATTGCAAAGGCCAAAAAAGAATTAAGTCGCAAATATGATATAATTTGCATTCCATTTTCTATGTGACCATAAATTGTTGGATATTGCAACATTATGTAACATAAACCACATGTCAGCTGTTTCCTGCCTCACTGTTGACAAGAGCCCCATTCATAATTCTTCTTTTTATCCTTTTAGTGAATAAGTAATTATTCAATATAGAAGGCAGGATATTTGGAACTGGCTATTTAATGTGGCAGCACTCTGTAATGAAATCTGCTGTTACTAGCAACCTGATAGGAGAATGTAACAATTCCAGCATCGCTGTAACTTTATCTGCTTTGACTGACTGTTTATTTGGCACATCAGTGAACCTTTTATCCCAGTGAGTGACAGCCCCAGAAGGGTCACATTTACATCCATTCTATCATGTATTGTAATATTTAATGGCGGACAAGGTTGAGCGAGACTGGGAGTAATTTGAACTTGCTTTTCCACTGAGTTGAGGCTAAAAGACAGCTTGATCCCCAGTATTGTGGTGTAACATGCTATGACTTAGCATTTGTTTATGAAGGCTAATCTTACTGATTAGAATTTAAAAAAAACTCCAGTCAAGTAGAGTATTTGTTCTACTAAACTAAAACTCTCCAGTATACAATCTTTTAAGTTACTGTGCTATTTACCTTTTTTCCCATCAGTGACTACTTCTATCAATTAACCATTTTATAGTATTTCCCTAAAATGAGGATTCTTTCTCATTTGATGTAGTAATTGAGGCTTTGAAAGGAGTAGTTAAGAACCTGTGAGTTCTAATATATGGTATTAAACTTTTTTAATATTCTAGAATTTGGAAATGAGAAAAAAATCAGCTAAATATTAGAATATATTCCTGATATTCTATATGGTTTGTTTGAGGAGACATTTATATAACTATTTCAGTTATGACACTGAATGAGTGAAATTGTCCAGGAAAAGCTATCCTGGATAGTTTTACTGATGGGTTTGCATTCCATGACAGGTAATTGAATTTCAGATATACTTGTTCCATACAAGCAGCCTTTCACTATTAAATATTAATATTTTTATGTATTTTCATATATTTGCTAGCGAAGAACTATCTCTTTTTTTAAGTGATACTTCAGATTCAACTAGATAATTCTATTCTTTTTGTAAACAATATTTAAATTCTTTATAAAAACATTGATATATTATGGAATATTTGAATGACCTATGCTGTTAAATGAAACTATCAACTCTAAACTATAATATCACAAGTTCACTTGAAGCCTAAGCAAAAAATTAAAATTGTCCTCTACTTTGTCTTATCATTTTTTATAATTTATGAGAGAAGAGAGTTAAAATGTTCTTAAAACATTTGGAATTGGAAAGTTAGAGTGTTATGTTAGAAAGAATGTAAATATGGAAACATCATTTATAACTTTTAAAATAGAGAAAGAAGACCAATTTGAAAGGGAATGTGTAGTTTAATGGCAAGTTTTAGATACTATAGTATCTTGAGATTTCTCTCTATTTGACCACTGTAATTCATTACTTATAGATTCTAATTCCTTGAGAGGTTTGATGTCATTTTTTTATGGAGGGGTAGATACTATTTATCTTTTCTTTTGTTTGTTACAGCCCCCTCCTGGCCACTGTTCTAGGTGCTGTTCTACTAAACAAGGAAACAGTCAAGAGTCTTCAAATACCATTAAGAAGAATCATGAGGGGAAATCCAAGATACCTAAAATATATTTTGGGACACGCACACACAAGCAGATTGCTCAGATTACTAGAGAGCTCCGGAGGACAGCGTACTCAGGGGTCCCAATGACTATTCTTTCCAGCAGAGATCATACTTGTGTCCATCCTGAAGTCATCGGTAACTTCAACAGAAATGAAAAGTGCATGGAATTGCTGGATGGAAAAAATGTGAGTAGATTACTTGTTTTAGAGAAAAAATAAGGGTGACGATATTAAAGTTACTCAATATATTTTATATGTACTTTTCTAGTGATAATCAAATAACTTAAGGAAATCAAATTAATTGCTAGTATTGATATTTTTTGTAAATAATTTTACCATAAGAAAATCTTTAGTCAAGTTTAAAATTATGAGTTTTGGTCCTAAAGCTTGGGGATTCTTAATTCTTTGAATTTCCATTGTAGGTCAGATGTCTTCTTACTTTCTTCTTTTAATTCTTGCTACCACAAATAGTCAAATATGGATGATGTCATATGAGGAGATAAAAGTGTTTAAATGATTTAGTCTAATAGTCTAAATAGATCTAATTAATATACTTTAAATATTTAAAAACTATAAAAGAAAATAGTTTATTTAGGCTCTCTCTTAGAGCAAATTTTGAAATGTTTTTAAGTTGAATTAGAAATATAGGGGTGGGGAAAAAAAAAAGAAATATAATTATCCTGTCTCATAATTCTAATTAGTATAAACTATTAAAACTTACATTAAATTATTAACTTAAAAATATCATTGATGGTTTTGAAATTTTTAGAGAGTTTAGAATAATATGAATTTTGGTTAGGTGGAAATAGAAAAGAAGTCTTTCTTACTAAAGACTTAAATAATTTTTAAATAATGTTTTGGGCAGTATTTGGGAGTCTGTGTTCTGGTATGATTACTAATTTACTCTAAAATTAGAGTTGTAAGTATGAAATTATACCTAGAACTCAGTGAATCATAAATTGATAGTATATGAAATGACCAATGCTATTTTGATATATTTTAAAATTACTTTGTCTTTTACCAGTATTTTATCAGTGTCACACATACACACAAAAACTACCACACAGCCCCTAGAGTTTGATTCACAATGTATCATCTCCTACCATATAATGTGAATACATTATTTTGTATCATACTTTTCTTCCTCAGTGCTTTTTTTAATTAGATGAGAATTAATTTAAGCTTTATTTAGGGATATTTAATAGATACTAAAATATGAGATTATAAAATATAAGTAGTAAGGGGTTCCAGTGGAAAAACTCAAGTGACTTATTCAGAGCAAGGAAGAAAATGCAGAATTATTGAATTAAAACCACTGCTGAATCTACAGTCATATTTATTTCTACATAAGTTCTTTCTTACTAACTGAGGAATTTGTGAAATCCCTTCACTCTATAGATTAAAAAGCTTCTCTTGAAGGAGAGAGAAAAATATTAAAATGTCAGATGCTCAAAAAATAATAAAATTAAAAGCTTGTAATTGTAAAACTTCATAAATTTCATGCTTAAGTAGACCTTTTTACATAGTGGCTAACTGATCTGGTGAATGACTCAAATGCTTGAAATTTATTTTTTGGCTACATAACCTATGCAGGAAGACTTGTTGGCATGGTCATTATCATTATATTTTTCTCTTTTTCGTATTAGGAAAATTATTATGTATTTGTAAAAAATATATACATTGGTAAAAGCAGTTATAAAGTTTAAGATTGTGGTTTGAAGACAAATAGTCTAATTTTATGTGAGCTTCTGGAATTCTACAGTACTGGTTATATATTATAATTGATCTTTACTCTCATAAGTTTGAGTCATGTAAAAATAAAAAGTCCAGGTGCCATGGCTCACCAGTAATCCCAGTACTTTGGGAAGCTGAGGTGTGAGGATTGCTTGAGGCCAGGAGTTTGAGACCATTCTGGGTAACATACTGAGACCTAGTCTCAAACAACAACAACAACAAAAAAATTAGCTGAAAGTGTGGCATGCGCCTGTAGTCTTAACTACTGAGGAGGCTGAGGCAGGAAGTTCGCTAGAGCCCAGGAGTTCCAGGCTACAGTGAGCTATGGTTGTGGCACTGCACTCTACCCTGGGCAGTAGAGTGAGACTTGATCTTGAAAAATAAAGTAATTCAGTAGACTTCAATATTCAGAATTTTTAATTGGCTTTTAGTTTGTCTTAAAGTGAACACATTTTTCTTTTTTTTTTTAATTTTAGTGGTATAAATAATTGACGATACCTGCTTGTGGTTTGCCGTGACCTAATTCTGCCTCAGAATGCTTACCTCATGGGCATACATGAACATTCTTTTTCTTGTTCCCAAGCCCTCTTGGTAATTAGGTATTGTAATGAGGGACAATTACAAAGTCACCATAGGTGTCTATGTTTAACTATGCCTGAATTACCAAAGCGAAATGATAAATAGATAAACTGACAGTTTGTGTGAAAGAGTTTAAAGTGTGATAACACTTCTATTGACAGACTCCTCTTGGGATTGTGTTACGCTGCTAAAATGGATGAGCTTTTCTGGTTTTGCTATCAGCATGCACAGGGGTGTCATTCTAAGTGCCCTTAAAGTGTAAACTTTCTGATTTTTTGGCTTGATCCAAAGGCACATGTGTTTTTTGTTCACTATTTTCTTTTACTGAAGTGGCCTTATTCTGGAAAAGTATGCATTTAGCTGTTAAAAGTTAATTTTTGTTTCAATTAAGACATAATTTTAATTAGAACCAGAAATGATAATTGTAAAAATTATTTTAGATATAGAACATCTATATTTTGTTAAAATGAGAACAGTTCACAATCATAGATTCTGAAGGCACTGTAATGATCATTTTGTACAAAGATAAGCTTTCAGAATTGTACAGAAGATGCTTGGAATGAAGAGATAGTGGCTGTTGTATTATTAAAATTAGTCAGTATCAAATTCAGTATGAAAGGTAATTAGCACGTCTCCACTTAACTCTGAATCCTGAAATTACAGAATTCTAGAGCTGGAAGGAACTTTAGAGATGGTATAGTTAGTGAGTTGGAAGGAATCTTAAAAGGCTTGGGGTTCAACTATTCTTTTGATACCTAGTCACATGAAAAAAATGGACCCTGAAGTTTGCCCATTCAGACAAGTAATTAGCAAGAAGGAAGGAACTGGAACCCAAGTTTTCTAACTCCCTGATCTATTGCTACTTTGATTACATTAGAAACAAAATAAAAGGTGGCATTGAGGTATGGGGAAGAGGACACAGTATGAAGGGTATAAAGAATTGTAGAGGTTATGCAAAGTAAGTGAAAATAATAAAGAAAATCAACTAAATAAATATAGTTAGGTGAACCCTTCCCTCCTGATTTTCAGTTTTAATACTTTGGACGACCAACAGGTAGCTTTCCTTGACATGGCTGAAAACACAGCTTTAAAGGAGAACTGGTCCTGAGCTGTTCATGTCTTGTCCTTTGATTTGCTGACATTCTTTTATAGGTTATGAATTTTTTTATCATTTACTCTGTTTCTAGCAATTTCTAGGTACGTTTGTATATGTACTGATGGATATGTTTTGAAATTGTAGATTCTTTTGGATAGTTCACAGATAGAAATATAGACATTTATATATTTTATATATAGTTGTTTTTTACATAATAATGATAAAGCTGGGAAAGAATTATTTTTATTTAAAAATATTAATGAAATAAAAATAGCCCATTGTTTTACCATGTAGTCCCAAATGACAATTGAAAAAGAAAAGTAATACTTGTAATGTGATTACAAGATTCAAAGTTATAGAAATGCATGAAATAAAAGGAGAAGCTCTTTCTAGCTCCTACCATCTCCTTAATTCTTCAAGGAAACTATTGTAAACTTTTATGTATATTCTATCCAAACATTTAAAAAATGTATTTCCTATAATATATGTGTATATGGTCTTTAAAAATATAATTTACATGAAATCAATCATTCTGTGTACACTGTTCAACATCTGTTTTTCTCACAGCATAACTTTAGAGCCTACTAACATATTAGCACATAGATAAATCTAACTCATTTTTAAGGGCTATAGCTTCTGTATTAATTTACCATAACCTATTTAACATGTCCCTTGTGGGTAGACATTTGATTTATTTTCAATTTTTCAGCTATTAAGCAGTACAGTGTACATATATTCACATTAATGGTAAAATTTTAAATTTTGATAGTTTTTTGATAAATTGCCTATGTACTTTTGCTAGAATTTTATACTTCTACTAAAAGTGTGCTTTTTTTTTTTTTTTTTTGAGACATGAGTCTCACTTTGTTGGTCAGGCTAGAGTGAGTGCCGTGGCGTCAGCCTAGGCTCACAGCAACCTCAAAACTCCTGGGCTCAGCGGATCCTCCTGCCTCAGCTCCGCGAGTAGTCTGGGACTACAGGAATGCGCCACCATGCCCGGCTAATTTTTATATATATACTCAGTTGGCCAGTTTAATTTCTTTCTATTTATAGTAGAGACGTGGGTCTCGCTCTTGCTCAGGCTGGTATTGAACTCCTGACCTTGAGCAATCCGCCCGCCTCGGCCTCCCAAGAGCTAGGATTACAGGCGTGAGCCACAGCGCCCGGCCGAAAAGTGTGCATTTTATACTTCCACTAATTTTGTATATTTTTAATAGTATATGAGACACTCTTGCTAGGACTGGGTTTTATCAAAATAATTTTTTTTTGGAGACAATAGTCTCACTCTGTCACCCAGGCAGGAGTTGCAGTGGCATCATTATAGTTCACTGCAACTTCAAACTTCCCAAGCTCAGCAAATCTCCTGCTCAGCTTCCCAAGTAGTCCTGGGACTACAGGAATGTGTCCACCTACCTGGCTGATTTTTCTTTTTTTTGTAGAGACGGAGGTCTCACTCTTGCTCAGGCTGGTCTCGAACCCCTGTCTGCAAGAATTCCTCCGTATTGGCCTTCCAAAATTCTAGAATTATAAGGTGTGAGCACTATGCTGGCCTAACATCTTATTTTTTTATTAATGCATGTAATGAAATTTTTTATTTTTAATAATAGAATGGAAAAGGACATTAGTACGATAACAAAAGGTGAAATACAATTTTTGTTAAACCTTGTTAGAATTTTTTTACAATATTATTTTAAACCTTGCTTAGAAACTCTAAAATATACAAATCAAAAAATTCTATTTTTCACCTTTTAAAAAGACAAAGACAATGAAAATAATGTTAGTGTTGATAATGATATCGGAAAAGGGTAATGCAAAATGGTATATATTTTCTGGAGAATAATTTTGGTGGTATGTTTCAAGAAGCTTGAAAGTACTTCATAGTTTTGGACCCCATAATGCTATTTCTAAAACATGTACACTAAGAAGATGTTTAGAAATGGCATGAAGAATGTTCACTGCAGTATTATTTATAAAGCAGAAATTGGTTAATAGTCTAAATGCCAGTAATAAGGAAACCACTCATCAACTATGGCACATATATTCAGTGTTACTATATCTGAGCAGCAATAAAAAATAGTGATATGAGCAGATTTTGCCTGATATGATTTTTTAATAAAATAGGCGAAGTAAAAAAGTGAATCTTAGTTTTATAAATATGTTTATCTTGTTAGTATAGTGGTAAGAAAAAGAAAATAGCTTTCTTGTGGCTAGATTGTTAGTAATCCTCAATGCCTGGGAAAAATTTGCTCTGTTCTCATTATTTTTTTTTTTTTAATTTATTTATTTTTTTTTGAGACAGAGTCTCACTTTGTTGCCTAGGCTAGAGTGAGTGCCGTGGCGTCACCTAGCTCAGCAACCTCAGACTCCTGGGCTCAAGTGATGCCTACTGTCTCAGCCTCCAAGTAGCTGGACTACAGGCATGCGCACCATGCCGGCTAATTTTTTCTATATATATCAGTTGGCCAATTAGTTTCTTTCTATTTATAGTAGAGACGGGGTCTCGCTCTTGCTCAGGCTGGTTTTGAACTCCCGACCTCGAGCAATCCGCCCGCCTCGGCCTCCCAGAGAGCTAGGATTACAGGCGTGAGCCACCGCGCCCGGCCTGTTCTCATTATTTTAATATTGGGTCACATTGTAGAAATATCCTTATGTATATATGTGTAGAAGAAATATGAAATGAAATACATCAAAATGTTAATAGTACATTGTTTGATGGAATTATAGACAATTTAGGGTTTTGGGGGGGTTTTTTGGTACTCTTGTAATTTCTGAATTTTTTAGTGAACACTCTTTATTTTTTTTCTCCCAGGGTATTACAACCTTCTCACCTACCTTTATTCCTTTTTATTTAATTTGAATAAGCAATACTGTCACATGGCCCAAAATTGAAAAAGTGTAAAAGGGTCTATAGAGAAAAATCTCTCCCACTCCTATGACCAAGCCACTTACTTCTCATCCTTGAAAACAACCAATGATACCATTGTTCTGTGTATTCTTCCAGAAACATTTTTTGTCTAATTTCACTATAATGGGAACAAACCCACAACAAACATATTTTTAAAATATTTTACTCAATTTAAGATATCTGGCGCTCTATTGGTCTGGAGTTCTAGCCGAGTCTGAGTCAACCAACATAGTTTCTTTAAAATGATTGTGATTGTATATATGGTATTATCTGTTTCCTTAGTAAAATCTTAGTTTTGTGGCTTTAATGTTTCTAAAATTCTGACATAGACTTGTTTTATTCCTTCTATTCCAAGATTGGTTCACATTTCAGTTATTAATTTTTTTTTTTTTTTAGGGAAAATCCTGCTATTTTTATCATGGTGTTCATAAAATTCGTGATCAACACATATTACAGACTTTCCCAGGGATGTGTAAAGCCTGGGATATAGAGGAACTTGTCAGCCTGGGGAAGAAACTAAAGGCCTGTCCATATTACACAGCTCGAGAACTAATAGAAGATGCTGACATAATATTTTGTCCCTACAACTATCTTCTAGATGCACAAATAAGGGAAAGTGTGAGTATATATGTAAAAATTAGAAGAACTTTTTTCCTACTTATTGGGATAGAAATGTTGAATGTAAAAGCTTGTAGATGTTTTAATGTATTTATTTTTTGCTTTATGTTTAATTCATGTAAATGTATTCTAAAGTGCATTATTAATAAAAACTGAATTTTAGACCTAGTCATTTTCATTTCCAAAGTAAGCAATTTTAAAAAACTAGTACTGGAAGTGGGATTATAACAGGGTTTCTCAGCCAGGGCAGTAATGACATTTTGGGTTGGATAATTCTTTATTATGGTGGAGTGTCTTCTGCATTGTAGCGTGTTTAGTAGCCTCCCTGATTTTATCTACTAGATGCTAGTAGCACCCTCACAGTTATTACCATCAAGAATGTTTCCAGACATTGCCTGATGTCCCCTGGGGAGCAAAATTATCCTCATTTGGCACCCATTTATAGTCGTCATTGTTTCCATTTATAAATAGTCAAAAAGAACTATTTAAAAACATTTCTCTACAGCCAGGTAGTGGCGCACACCTGTTGTCCCTGCTACTTAGGAGGCTGAGGCGGGAGGATTGCTTGAGTCCCAGAGTTGGGACCAGTCCAGTCAACATAGTGAGAGACTATTTCTTAAATAAATAAATATATTCATTAAAAAGCTGGTTGTAGTGGTTCTCACATGTAGTCATAGCTGCTTGGGAGGTTGAGGCAAAAGGATTGCCTAAGCCCACGAGTTTGAAGTTACAGTGAACTATGATGTGTGACTTCACTCCAGCCTGGGTGACAAAGTGAAACCTCATCTCTAAATAAATAAACAAACAAACAAAAACATTTCTCTTAAAAAGCTATGTTTTAAAAAACTTATGTTGAGGGAATATGCATACTATGCAAATTATGCTTTGAGAGCTTTTGAGAAGTAAACTTCAGATACAGCATTTGTGTTTATTTCCCTGGTTGTTCTTAAAGACATGCAGTTGTTATAGAGTAAGATGAAAAGTGAATAATGTGGTATGGTCAATTGTTATTCCTCTCTTCAGGTCTGACTGCACAGTTCATCTTAGCTTCATATTTCTTTTTTGTTTTGTTTTCTTTTTAATAAATTTATTAATCTTTAAACTCTACTTTTTCTTTTTTTTTCTTTTTCTTCAAAAAGCAAAAGAAATTAATATTTCTTTAAGTTCAAAATTAGCAAGCATTATGTTTACTGCCCCCTACTTTCTTACCTCTTAACTAGGTCTCTTCCCTCCAAGGTATTGTACATATCAATGCCCAGTCTTCCTGATACTGCTTTTATCACATCCTTTCTCTGCACAAAAATGTCCTATTGCTCCCTTTACTCATGAGATAAAGTCCATACTTCTTAAACTTACACTCAAGACGCTAGTAGTCTGACCTAGGTCTCTCTAACTTGAACCCTTCAAAAATTACCTCATAGTCTCCTGAGGGGACACCTTGTTCTTTCTTACAGCTCTGCTTTTGATAACACTTCTGCTGAAATGCTTTGTCCAAATCCAAATCCTACTCATCTTTTAAACCCCCAGTATATTTTCTACTCTTCCATGGTCTTTCTCAGTCATTTAAGCCCTCTGTGTATTCTTATTTCCTCGGTATAACTTAGTGACAATTGCTTTATGATATTTCCTTGTTGTATTAGGACTCTTTCAGTTGCCAGTGAAACAAACCCTCAAAAAGAGTTGAAGGAAAAGTACTTGGCCTTCTCTTCAGAGTGATGGCTTTATTCTCAGGCAAGCTGTCTCCTTTTGGGAACAAAGATAAGCACAAGCAGCTAACTAACCTGGAGAAAATATGGTCTCATATTAGTCCCGCTAAATTACTCTGATTGGCTTACCTTGGATCATATATCTATTCCTGAATCTGACAGTCACTGTGACCACAGAGAGATAGAGTGCTCTATTTGACTGACAAGCCTGGGTTATGAGTCTTAACCCCTGTTGTGAAAGTGGCGATGTCCTTTAGTTCACAGATTAATAGTCCTGCTTAGTATCACACAGGAGTTGGGGAAGAGAACTTCTTGAAATGAAAGATTGCAGAAGAGATTAAAATGAAACAGATGTATACTATATTGTGTTAGTATTTTTTGAGATTCATTTGAATCTTGTGCTGTTGTTTTACTTTTAAAGGTTTTATACTCTGTTTTAAAAATAGTTTTGGAAACTTCTTTATAGGGGAGGGGGATTTTATAGCCTTCTGTGTAGACAGCGGTACCTTGATCCAGGCTCACTTAACACATATCTTTTTGTTTTTGGTAGGTTTACAAAGTATTTTGAGAGAGAAAAATAGCAAACTCAGTAATGTAGAGCTGATACTGGTTGGCCTTAGTGTTTCAGAGGTTTTATTTAAGACCCAGAATGAGTTGCTTATGTAATTGTACTTGCAAATCAGCCCATAGTATGAATTTTTAAATGAAATATTTTGCCTGCTACTGTTAAATTTATTTTGCCAAACGTTTTACAGGAAAATTCTTTTATCTTATAGATGGATTTAAATCTGAAAGAACAAGTTGTCATTTTAGATGAAGCTCACAACATTGAGGACTGTGCTCGGGAATCTGCAAGTTACAGTATAACAGAAGTTCAGCTTCGGTTTGCTCGAGATGAACTAGATAGTTTGGTCAATAGTAATATACGGAAGAAAGACCATGAACCTCTACGAGCTGTGTGCTATAGCCTCATTAAGTAAGAATATTTGTCTCTCAGTATATTTGTGCTGCCTTTATATTAAAAACATGTTTGATTATGCCAGAGTATTTTAAAGTTAGTAAACTTTGATTAACCAGGCTACTTGGGAAATGGGTTGTTCCTTCCTCTTGAAAAAAACTAGTCCAACCTTTTCTCTTGTTCAAAAGAATGTAATGGACATAATTGATTTTAAAAATGAATAATTGTGAATCTTCCTAATTTAGCAGGATAACTTAACGGTCCCAAAGGATGTGTATAGGACATTGAACAGAAATGAAACAGTTTTCGTTAATGTATTAATATTTTTAAATTCTGGATCATGGCTTTACTTTATTGCTTTATCTTCCAATTTGGGTAGGATTCTAGTTTGATGGGTTTCAATTAACCAGGATTTGCATATTGTAAAATGATACAGTTAGTGCTAATTTTATTAAAATTTGCATTATTTTATAAAATAAAAATTTTTATTAAAATATGCATTTGCATAATTTCCCATCTATTAAACATTAAGTTGTTGATCTAGAATCTTGTTATCTTAGAAAAAAACATCCTCTGACTCTACATACCATTTCATTTATTGTAGCATTTTTGTTTCCTTCACAGTATACTTTTTGAAAACTTGAATGCTATACAGTCACATGGTTTGAACATAAAACATATACAAATTTATGTAGTATAAACCTCCACTCTACCCTGTCTCCAATCTGCTAAGTTTCTGTTCTCCTAAACAAGTTTATTTCTTGTTTTTTTTTTTATTTCAATAGACTTAGGGGGTACAAATGTTTTTTGTTATATGGATGAATTATATAGTGGTGAAATCAGGGCTTCCAGTGTACCCATCATCCAAATAGTTATATTAGGGAATTCACACTTTGCCTACAATAAGAGTTGCAAATACTTTCCACCCCTTTATGCTATCTGTGTGAGGCTGTCTTTGTGGTATTTTTGCCATGTTGAATTTTGTCATTTTTATTTCACAGCATAATTTGTTGAAAGTGTTATCTCTAGTTGCTAATTCTATTTTCTCACTTTACATTCTTCCCTCATTCACCCTAGTGGTGGTGTCTGCACATTTCTACTGAAACTGTCTTTATCACAGCCACCAATGGTCTTTATAGTGCCACATACAAAGGTTGTTTTTCTGTTAGCTTACTCAGCCTCTCAGCAGTGTTGGATATTGCTAATGACCATCTTTTTGTTTTATTTTGTTTTGTTTTTTGTTTCTTTTTGAGACAGAGTCTTGCTTTGTTGCCCAAGCTAGAGTGAGTGCCGTGGTGTCAGCGTAGCTTACAGCAACCTTTAACTTCTGGGCTCAAGCAATCCTACTGCCTCAGCCTCCCAAGTAGCTGGGACTACAGGCATGCGCCATCATGCTTGGCTAATTTTTTTCTATATATTAGTTGGCCAATTAATTTCTTTCTATTTATAGTAGAGACACGCCTCGCACTTGCTCAGGCTGGTTTCGAACTCCTGACCTCTAGCAATCCGCCTGCTTTGGCCTCCCAGAGTGCTAGGATTACAGGTGTGAGCCACCATGCCTGGCCTAATGACTACCTTTGAAAAGCATTTTTTGTCTTCATTTCTGTGGCATCTCTAATTTTTCTCCTCACAGTCCATTCTTTCTTAATTTCTTTGGTAATTCTTACACTGTTTGAGGTCTAAATGTTGGAATACCTCAGCAGCTGGTTCTGGGGCTTAATTTCTTTCCTATCCCTGCATTTTCCCTAAATTGTGTAATCTAGTACTGTAGCTTAGAATATAATCTGCAGTACTGGTGAGGCTTGATTCTGTGTCTCTAGCCTCAACTTCTCCCTGGAATGCCATTGTTATATATCTAATAACCTACTTTCTAACTGTATGGTTATCAAATAGACATTTCAACTTTACACCCAAAACAAAACTCCTTCCCTTTCCCTATGTATGGTTTCCCCCTAGTCTTACTTTTCCTCATCTAAGCAAACAGTACCTACCGGTTCCTCAAATTTAAAAAAATCTAAATATTATCCTTGATTACTGACTGCATCATCTCTTCAAGTTCATCAGTATGTCTGATAGATGCTACCTGCACAGTATATCCCAAATTCATAAGTTTCGTTCACTGGCCACATCTGTCATCCCAGAATCATCTCTCAACTAGAATATTGTAACAGCCTCCTAACAAATCTCTGTTTTCATTCTTTCTCTTACAATCCATTCTGCTTTGGAAGCTGTAATCATCTTTTAAAACACTTGAAATAGATTGTCTCTCTTGTATTTAAAAATCTCTATTTAAAACCTTCTCATTGCTCTTTGAATAGAATCCAAATTTCTTAACCCAATTCATAATGATTTGATTTCTGCTTATTACTCTAACATTATTTTATTTTATTTTTTTTTCAAAACTGGCCAACTGATATATATATAAAAATTAGCCGGGCATGGTGGCGCATTCCTGTAGTCCCAGCTACTCGGGAGGCTGAGGCAGGAGGATCGCTTGAGCCCAGGAGTTTGAGGTTGCTGTGAGCTAGGCTGACGCCACGGCACTCACTCTAGCCTGGCACAACAAAGTGAGACTCTGTCTCAAAAAAAAAAAAAAAAAAAGCACACTTTAGTAGAAGTATAAAATTCTAGCAAAATACATAGGCAATTTATCAAAAACTATCAAAATTTAAAATTTTACCATAATGTGAATATATGTACACTGTACTGCTTAATAGCTGAAAAATTGAAAATAAATCAAATGTCTACCCACAAGGGACATGTTAAATAGGTTATGGTAAATTAATACAGAAGCTATAGCCCTTAAAAATGAGTTAGATTTATCTATGTGCTAATATGTTAGTAGGCTCTAAAGTTATGCTGTGAGAAAAACAGATGTTGAACAGTGTACACAGAATGATTGATTTCATGTAAATTATATTTTAAGACCATATACCATAATATTATAGATATATAGAATACATTTTTTAAATGTTGGATAGAATATACATAAAAGTTTACAATAGTTCCTTGAAGAATTAAGGAGATGGTAGGAGCTAGAAAGAGCTTCTCCTTTTATTTCATGCCATTTCTATAACTTTGAATCTTGTAATCACATTACAAGTATTACTTTTCTTTTCAATTGTCATTTGGGACTACATGTAAAACAATGGCTATTTTTATTTCATTAATATTTTTAAATAAAAATATCTTTCCCAGCTTTATCATTATTATGTAAAAACAACTATATATAAAATATATAAATGTCTATATTTCTATCCTGTGACTATCCAAAAGAATCTACAATTTCAAAACATATCCATCAGTACATATACAAACGTACCTAGAAATTGCTAGAAACAGAGTAAATGATAAAAAATTCATAACCTATAAAAGAATGTCAGCAAATCAAAGGACAAGACATGAACAGCTCAGGACCAGTTCTCCTTTAAAGCTGTGTTTTCAGCCATGTCAAGGAAAGCTACCTGTTGGTCGTCCAAGTAATTAAAACTGAAAATCATGGGGG